ATCATGTTAGAAAATTGTCTTATTTTCATTTAAATCCACTCTAAATCCAAAGGCAGAGATGAGTAACACAGCAAATCATGTTGATACTAATGATATTAATGCTATTTATAAGTGATATATGACTGTGATATATCTAAGCCATAGTTAAGTGCACGCGCACTCGATGAATATTCGATTTTCTCGACAACGGAACCTCAAATGAAAAAATTTTATTCGTTATTTTTGATTTGTTTTTTCATGTAGAATCACCCTCTCCTCGGTCGTCACCGATGCTGGGACACCCTATATGTCGAAAGATGATTTCTTTATGGATTTTGGTGGGTCTTTTCTAAATCACTTTTTTAAATTATAACATACGAACAATGGAAAAAATATTAAAGAAAGATTCCTCAAATCGCAATTTTCTTGAAAAAGAAAAAATAAAATTAATATTAACTTTAGTCATATTACTGTATAATAGATGGGAGATATAGTATTATTTCGGGAGTATTTTAAATTGCCAAATTTAAAAATTGGGATTAGTTTTTCACAGAGATGAACAATTTTAAAGATATTCGCAAGAAAACTTTTCCGGTTTTCTTTGCTAACATATGCATCAACATTGATTATCGTTCGTCTTACGGCAATCGGATAAAATTAAATTTAACTCAATCTAATTTCTATCTTTGTAGATCATAATTTCTTTCTAGTTTAAAAAAGTTTTAGTGTAATATATGAAGAATAACTTGTCGATAAATTACACTATTTTATTTTATCTTATTTTTTGCAAATTGCGATCTAATAGATATTTTTTATTTGTTTTTGCATTGTTTATAAGTCATAACAAAATAATCTCGTTCAAATCCGTGAGAAAGTGGTCTTTTGACAATTTCATCCAATCAAAATTGCAAAAGAAATTATGGTTTGCAATTCAATCATTCTCTCGAAGAATGATACTAAGTTCCAATAATGAAATTAATACAATTTTTAAATTTGCTTTATTTATAATGTGTTTAATTTTACCAATAGCATATTATTAATAATAGGAAATTGTTCTTTAAGACTTAAATAAGCTGGAGCTAAAATAATTTTATTATTTGAAATTATTAAATAATTACTTATTTGTTGTCAATTTAACGAAAATCAAATGGTGTCAAAAGTAACCCAATTTGGTATTGCTAGCTTTTCTACAAGAAAACGTGTAGAATATATATAAAAATTATTTATCTTTTTCTAAATTTATTTTTTAATAAAGTTAGTTAATGCATCTAGTTATTGCATATAAACAATATTAATTAGTTTATATCAAATAAAGTATAGTTTAAAAAAATATTGAGAATATTGAGAGATATTGAAATAATGAACATTTCTCAAATTATTTTTTATATTTTGCCCTCTTTCAATGAGAAAAAGCTATTAACAATATTGGAAAGAATTTCTTATCTCTTATGGGAGATTTTAATATTCATAATACGATATGAAATTATTCTAGCATTAACTGTAACGATGACAAACAAGCCATCGATAATCATGATTTGTTTCTTCATAATTCAAACTTATTTATTCACATAGATTTCCATAGAATTGCATGATATTGCACATAAAGTTAATACAGAAATTCATGATGGAGATTTAGGCTTTGATTACTGTACCATGTCGAAACATTTTCGTTGAGAAAGAAGTACTGTCAAAAAGTCTTTCGAAATTAAGTACCACGGGAGCATTAAAAAAATAAGTTATTTAAAAAAAAATTTATCAAAGTGAGGGGTGAACGAACATACATTTATTTGGTATAAACAGGTCAGACTCCAGATAGAAATATTTGTATCGCAATATACTATGTATGATGAATATACATAATTTTATGGGCGCGTTCACACGACTCAATGATTCTTGCGCAATTCAATATCTGATATCGATTTTGTGGATCCCAAAAACCGTAGTCGCGTAAAATTAACAGATTTCTTTCATTTCTAAAAAAATTCTTTTATTATATAGTACTTTAACTCGTATAATATTTGCTTTTGTGAAACAAATATTATATAAGTTTGAACTTGTATATTTGTTTTTATAGAACAAATATTATATAAATTCGAACTTGTATATTATTGGTCTTATGGAACGAATATTATATAATATTATATAATATTAATATTTATTTCTGTGGAATTTTTATAAAAAGAGGTGTTATAGCTAGAAATACTTGAATAGTGTTCTCATCAGATATTTTAGAATCTGTATAATAAAAATTTCATAGAAACAAGTTCATTTAAAACTTAATTAAAAATCCATTTTTACATTGAAGTACTATTCGTTTGATGAAAAATGAAGTTATTTTTATATTAAGTTATGTATAAATACTATTCATATTGATGAAAATATGATAAAAAATTATCTGTTCTACCGACAAAAAATTTTTATTTTTGTATTTTATAACTTCCATTCTGTATGAAACATTCATATTTAAGAGTATTTATTTATTGGGATATATTCTTATTGGCACTTGTAATGTAAGTACATTTTTCGAAAAAGTTCTACGATCTATTTTTTCAAATAGTCTATTTGAATCTTTCTTAACTTTTTCGATCCTAATTAAAACAAATAAATCGTATAGGAGAAAGTATGATTCGCGGGTCAAACCGAGTACCATTTTTTAAGTACCGAATACCGTTTTTTTAAAATAAGATCCCTGATATTTGAATTGAACTATGGCATATTATTCGGAAGAATCCCACGACTTTATTTTACAAGTTTCTGAAACAATCAACATCGTAGTATTCCGTACATATACAGTTAAAAATTTCGACTTGAAGATTTTCAATGTTTTGTAATTTAAGTGATTGTTTTTTAGTGTTTCCACATTCAGGAATTCATTCGGATAAACAATATTTGTATTCTATAGTCGTTACAGCGTTTGATCCTTTTTACACCGTTCTATCTCATATTCAAGTATAAATATTTAATGTTTAGTAAATGAATGCACTTTGAACAATACCGGATATTTGACTATGGGGCAGAACCGGGTATCCGGTTTTGCCTCGTACTATCTGTGTATAGCATACGTGTCTTTTCGTTTTCATGTTTCTCATCATTTAATTTAAATTGTTATTGTTTGTATGCATCCTGGGCAATAAAGTCCATAAAATAATTGCGAAAATTATGGCGGTAAATACTTTGAATAGAAGATTAGAAAATAATTGATTTCTAATTCCGGGAGAAGCTAAATCTAACCCAAATCTGACCCAAACCTGACTTCTCAAAATGACATACAAAGAGTACTAAAATACCTCAAAAACATAAACTACTACACTCATATCTAATGGCACCGTCGACACTAATGACCTCGCTGTCGATGCGACATTAAAGAAAAAATAGAAGAAGAAGAAGAAAAATAATAAATTGACTAAAATTGCTTATTTTGAATTTTAATTTTTTACCTTTATTTTAAATGAAATTTATCCAGTTCTGCATAAACATTGGAATCTTAGTTAATACTAATTGGAATTAGTTAATACTAAATGCTTGCGTCATGGCACCTGCTTCTTAGAAGCAATTCCCAAATTCGAGATTCGTTTTAGAAGAAAAACTGGAAAACAGAACATTCAACACACAAGTAAAACAGATAGAATTAAGTGTTTATATTTAATTTTCAGATATGTATCTCAAGCACGCATCGCAAAACCTGTATCGGCAATATTATCTCCGTTTAAAAGGAACTTTGACTTTTTTTTGATAAAGAAAAGTCTATGTTACGAGGCATCTTGGGCATATTAACATGTATTTTGAATTATATATGTATAAATATAAAAGCCATATATATTACACGAACATCTCGTCTGTTGATTTTAGCACATTTTTTACAAACTTTGTGTATAAAAAATAGACTGCATGTCAATTTCAAAGAATTTGAATTTATATATTGAACTGAATTGTAGAGTTTAGAATTTCTATATTTATCAAAAAAAAATCCATAAAAACAATTTTATAATTTTATAACAAATTTTATAAGTTTAGAAAAATAATGCAATTTAATTGAAGTCCAATGTTCAATTGTGTCCAAATTCATAAGCATTATGTAAGACAAAACGATTACTCGTGTCTTACTTTTGTGATTCCTTTTTATTTTGCATAATATGAATTATTTTGTATAATTTATTTTGTGTAAAATAAAATGATCAAAATTATATTCTATTTATTTTTTATTAGATGCAGCACACTATTAAATGTGTTAAGTGATCCATATATTAAAAAGAAAAGAAGTAATATTATGTAAAGTGAAGAAGATATACATTTATGTTGTAAAAAAAAACCAAAAAATTTGTACTAATAGAGCAAATTGATGTTAAAAACTTTAAACAGTAATATCTTTAGCATAGATTGCGATGTTTACTTACAATCACAAAACTAACACGAGAAATGTCGCGTAATGTATTCATCTATGTAAATATATACTTCCATATGTATATCCGTATGAAACACGTTTCAACGCTTGTGTAGATAACTATTCGTACCAATTATGAAAAAGTTCTGTATTGAGCTTTTTACACTATTTTATGATAGATTCTCAGCAACTAGATAATACAAAATTTTTGTTAATATAATAACAAGTCAATTGAAATCAATATTTAAAAAGAAAATCATTATCATCTCGTGTATACATATCCCGTATTATTGTGACATTCCGAACATGATAAATTTAAGAAATTAAGAAAAATATTTTACAAAAAGTGAGAATGTGCAACTAATTTTAATGATTTAATTAATTACTAAAAAAAATCATCAATTTATTTAAGAAGAAATAAAAAGTTAACTTCGAAAAATTCGTTAATATTTTCAAACTTCTATAAATATGAAATTTATTTAGAATAAAATTAAAGTTTTAAAACATAAATGGATCAAGACAATGAGCGTAATAGATATGGGTTTGGTTTTATATTTGTGGATTAGGTTTTAAGTTTGTTGATTTGACTTTAGGATATATGTGTGAGTATGCGTGAGACTCTAGCGACAATGGCATGAAATTATTGCGCAGTAGTTTACCTCTGTCCAAGAGCGAGAAAACAAGTGTTCATATATGCGAGTTAGAGTTAAGAGAGTAATACTAACGAGTGACAGTGTGATTTCAAATGCGAGAGTTGTTACATATATTGTTCTATTTTCTTATATATTATACGTGTTAACTAAAGGTGTACATTTCATTTAATCAACCCACAATTGACAGAAGACCGTGGTTATTGCAAATAGAGAGAGAAAATCACAATTGGTAGAAGAGTGTGGTTGTTGCAAACAGAGAGAAACTCACAATAGAAAACCTTCGAAACGAGAACGAAATTTTTGCTATACTTAAAAAAGTAAGTTTCTCCCCACGATCCTTCTATCTTCTTGTTTGCAATTCTAAAGATTTCTTTAATGCTAATTGAAATTTAATTTGGCCTTAAATTTACGAAATTCCAAGTGATCTTTAGGGAATTAATTTTGAAATTACCAAATAATGAATTAATTGTTTTAGATGTCTATAATTAAATCTATGCAACAAATAAAAAGATTGAACATAAAACTAAAAACTCATTAATTCAATTACAATTAACATCGAATTTAAAAGGGTTTGGATAGAGAAATTCTAATTTAATATTAAGTAATTGGTTAACAAATTATAATTCATATGTCATTTATATTCATAGCAGATCAAATTCAATCTGTATGTAAATATTTGAATGTTTCGATGAAAAACGTTCTATTTACTGATATTACTTTTTTCAATAAAAAAATTTTAACTTTCATTTATCAATTCAATGTATTTTTTTATAAAATGTCATATTGCATAGGTATTTCTAAAATATAACATATATTTTTGCTATTTTTAAACATATATGTTTGTTAAAATTGCAAATAATATTTGTTTTCAAGTCCTTTAACAGGCAAAACATTGTTTTCTAATTGTTATCGTAGTGTTATCCTGTCGAAGATATATTTTTGGAACATAATTATAATAAATCCAAAACAAATAATCATGGACAAAATGTTGAGTTAAATCATATAGGTACAAAATTGTGAATTTTACACACAATTAAACATAATTAAAAAATTTAATCTATTTATTGTTAATAGAAAAATTTGAAAATTTATTTGTTTTTTCATTGTAGATGTTAATTTTTTATCACTGATACAAAGAGATAAATTAAAAATATAGGGAAAAAATTCTCATCAACTTTTTTAATGCTCTTCTTTGTCCTTAAAATTCAAAAAGATATAATGATTAATTTCTATATTTTTTAAATTAAAAACAAATGTTTTGTATTTAAATAAAATCTAACAAATAGTAGTTGTATAAAATTTATTTAGGCTAAATCAGTTTGACTATAGATCAGATTGACAATCTCATTTTTATTCCATTCACTGATTTGCGAAAATTTTTTAAACACAGATGTAATTTAAGTGTTAAAGAATTCATAAAACAATATACGTAAATAGAGAAAAAAATTTTCTCGTTATCATTTTGGAAACATTAGCTAAACCAATATTTTTAACTAAAAGCTTTTCAGGCGAATTTATCGTAATGATCAATTTTTCTTTATTAATTCTATGTTTATATATTGTAAACGTCGTTAGATTTATTACATTATTGAAATTTTTAATATAACATAAGTTTCAATAGTTTCGTAATTATTCGGTTTTAACTTAATTTTAATAAACGATTATTTTTAAAATATTTTGATCATTTCAATTTCTCAATTTACTCTCTACCAGTTACTAAATAATGTACTAAACAATGAACAAGTATTAAATACAAGTGCTATATTTAAACTTAGGTAAATTTTTAACGTAGATAACAATTCATTCAAGTAGATAACAATTTTCATTTTTTGTATTACTTCAAAAAAAAAAGTATAAATCCTTTAGATGTAACTACATGTTATATTAAAATAATAATAATAGAATTATAGTAAGAATGTAAATAATCGGTATTTTATTGTTGTTTTAATTGTATCCATCATCACCAGTATTGCATTGATAATAAAGTTTAACAGATGCTTTGTCACTTTCTATCAATATTCAAAAGTTTCTTTTCCATTCTTGTTTTGAACTGAAACTGTGCAATTTGAATTGCAAATTCTGCAGTGATCATGTAAATTGGAATTGGCTGAATCTGAAGATATCGATTTAAAGATTAACTACTGTTGCAGAGATTAATTCTGTGACGCAATTGATCTGGATTGACATTAACTAGTTATAACTGAATATAATTAATTTATTTCCATAGATTACATGTTTATATTTTATTAGTATATTTCCTACTTATTAGTAAGAAAACGATAATGATAATCCCTCTGTATAAATATTGACAAAATTATGAAAGGTATACAGAAAGAATATATGGTTTTTTTCGCTAAGTATAATGTATGGTTCTTTTCGTAAAAGTCAATATTCAATTTGACAATATTTCATTAATAAGTATGAATTTAATGTATATATAATACGTTTTGACAAAAAGCATAAAGATTACAAGAATGTAAATTTTATTTATTATAAAATTAAAAAAATAATTGTAAATAATTGAAGTAAATAAAATAACCTAGAAACTTCAAATTCTATATTACTTTAGAATTTTTTACACTTATTATCAGTTTATGTCAATTAAAATAAATAAACTTTAATAAACTCTTTAATAATAGAAGCTTAACATAAATTCAACTAATTGAAATTTACTAATTATAATACCAATATTGCATGGAATTAGAATTTTTTTTGCAATATTATAATATTAGAGTTTCACAAAACATATAGAAAAAGTTATATTAATTAAATATTTTGCAATTTGATCTAAAACCTGACAATTTCACTAAATAATTAAATTTTATTGTGTGTGGTCCCTCTTTCTTTCCAATACTAACTAAATATAATTTTATACAATTTTTACAATTACATTTAATAATTATTTATTTTATGATTTTTAACATTTTGATGGTCATAAGAAACATGAAATCACTTGATTTCTTAATGATGATATGTAACGTACTTTAAATCCTGAACTCATAAATGAAAAAAATAACTTGATTTACATATCGATAATTATTCTAATATATTTTTATATCGTTTAATATTAAAATCGTTAAAAATATTGATCACTACTTATTTCGATAATCGTAAATCCTTTAATCACCGAGACAATTAAGTCTTATCCGACTCTGTTCCTAGAGGAAATTGTTTCTCCGGTTTGTGTCAAAGTAAAATCGTATCGTTTCATTTCTACGACGTGAAAACAAAAATATTTTTCCGTCTTTCAGTTGTGTTCCCTGCAGACCACCAAGTCGATACCGAAGGAAAACAATTTGTCAATGAGACGTTTCCGTCGTGATATCGAGTTTTCCTTCCAATTTATCCGATTTTTCGCTATTGCGCAGTTATGCGATAATTTAATATTATAAGCATCGTGGTTTTATATTTTATTATTGGCTTAATTGGCTAATAAGGCTCGATTAAGTGATGATATGCTCATCATGTTATGAAAGGATCGATATTTGATACGTCTTTTCAAATTCTATTTTCTTACATTTAACATCATTGTTTCTTCTAATTATAGTTTTCTTACATTTAACATCATTGTTTCTTCTTTTTTTTTTTTTTTTTTTTTAATAAATGAATTTATTAAATGAATTTATTAAATGAATGTATTCGTTTGTATATGTATAAATCTTTTGATAAAACGAAAATTCAGATTATTTTCATTATCATGTGATCTTTTCATTAAATTTTATTATAATCATAAAAAATCACAAAAGTAATGTAATATTTATTGACATGAAAAATTGTTAATGATTAAGTTAAGATTTTAATCATTATAATTATCTATATTAAATAAATTCTAATAATATTAATTTGTTTAATATAGATATATTAAATTTGTCAAAAGTATTAGAAGTTAAAAACTATACCTACATATTTTGTAAATATTCAACATTTTAAAATATTTATTTATTGAATCATTTTGAGGAAAAATTATAGAAATATTGCTTTATATAAATAGCAAATAATCATTGACTTAAATTTTTATATTATAATGCATAAATGATACATATAAATTTACAATAAAATTTTTGAAATAAAATAGCACGTATAGCGAATGAATAAAATAGCATAATTAATTAAAAACTACTTAATTGATAGATTCTATTCCATTCGCAATAATATTCAATAATGGTGTAAATTTCGTAATAACATTCAATAATTTGTCAAAAATGGAACTGTATGACAATTAAGTAAAATCGTTAATCTGCGTAAATAAACAATGAATTGTATTTAATAAGTGAATCTGCCAAATATTTTCTCGAATAATTCATTTCAGCAAATGTCATTTGTAGTATCCAAAATCCAAGTATCCTCTCACGGTTGAATATACATTGGATTCTATCATTGTGCAATCAGTTGTGGAAGTTCAAGCTAATACCACTACCGAACCAATCAGCCGTCCTGATAAAGTTCTCTGTCTCCTCTCTTTCAATAATGAAAATGGACACTATAATCTTTCAGTTCAATTATTATATGTCAAAGTATACGGTAGTGATATTCGAAAATTATTATAGGAACTTCTTTTCTGCTGCTGTATATGTATAATGACCAATAATTCTGCCATTAATAATATTGATTTGATTGGTCATTATACATGTACAAATTTCCCCACTTTAATACAATGTAAGACAAGATTAATTAAATTTAATTAACTTAATTAATTAAATTGTCTTTTTCTCTATTTTATTCATAGTTAAAATAATTAATTGTGTGAGTGAGCACAGATGAAAAAAGATCGAATTATTTTCTGAAAATTTTCTATTTGCTATTCAAAGTATAAGTTTTTATTATTATATGTTTTCTAGAAATTATTATTTATTCAAAATCAATATTAAAAAAAAAAATGAATTTATTTAATATCTAATTACAATGAATATAATTTGTAATGTTCAGTTACTGCTTCATTACGGTTAATTAATTGAAATACTTGCTTTCATCTTCTTAATAAGTTTCTTAATTGAATTTTAATAAATTTCCTTCTAACACAATTGAAACTTTTGCAATCTTCGAAGAAGTTATTTGAGGTCTAAATTGCTTACATTCTATTGAGAACTAAAAGAGAGAACTAAATATAGTTTGTTTTGCGTTGCTGCTAAATGTATGAAACTTAAATAAAAGAAAATAAATTCACGTCCATCTTGTTTTTAGCTTCTCTTTTAAATTTCAATTTGAAGTTACATTTTTTTAAATCATCTAAAGCGACGAAAGAAAGTTGAAGTTAGACGACTAATCCGTTTCATATTTGTAATGATGATATTCGAAGAGAAGTAAAAATTTTCTTAATTTTAGTAAAAATGATTTATAGAGAATTTTCAATATATCTAACAATAGCTGGAAACAAGAAAAAAAAGTCAACAATATCAAAGTCTGTTATAATTGTATTAATTCTCTTATGTGTGTAAATATAGGTGTATAGAAAAATAAATGTCACGACAATATGATTCTACATTTTGGATAGATGGAAATTTATATAAAAAAATTTACCACAAAATAAAATTGAATTCTTTTATTGTTGCATCATACTTTACTTATCGCTAGGATCAAACTTATCAAAGGAATCATGAATTGCAAATGACCCTCTCTCTTGGAAAACATTCTTAAATTACCATTAGTTCTCAGATGATCTTTATTAACAATATGTTATAATTATATTATATATAATTCTTATTCGCTGTATTATTCGCTTATTTGAATTTTTAATCACTAAATTGTTGATGTAGTCGTTGAAAGTCGCGTCGACCTTTTACAATATATCATATATTTTATATTTATATGCTATATACAATATATTATAGTGTATTATATATTTCTATGTTGAGTAAATAATATAGCTGTATGAATTATTTGAACTTTGATATCATTTTTTAAGAGAACTGGTCATTTTCAACTAATGGTTTGTGTTGCAAAGTTGAACTTCATGATAAGTAGAACGCGATGCATGCAAACAAAAGTTATTTTTAATCTTGAAAATTCAAGATCAAGGTCACAAAATTTTTGGCGAAAGTTTTCTGTATCAAACCATTTTTACCAAATAGATAAGAGTGTAATTATAACTATATGGGTGTCGCAACATATAATTTTGTAACATTCTATACGTATAATCACATTTAAGTTTCAACAATAACCTAATCGGATATGAATGTTTTCAAAAACATAAAAAATACAATATTAATCATTAGGATGAAAAAATAATAATAAATTGAAATTTAATAGGAAAGATTATTAACAACATCAAAATAGAAATTTTTCTAATTGATTCACAGTAGTAATTGTTTAATAAAAATAATATTTATTGTTGTTAGCATCAAGTCAATGATAGGGACACGATTTAAAAGGCATGCTTTGCGTTTTTACGTATTTATACTTTTTCGTAAAACTTAAAATTTGTTACTCTAGCTGGCAACTGATTTTTAGAAGTTCTTAAATAATTTCTAAGATTTTTGGATTATTAAATAATTTCTAAGATTTTTATATCCTAAATAGAAATAAAAATTCAATAGAAATTACTATAAACATTTAGACGGCAATGTGATCTGTTTTTCCCACAACCAAAGTCTTGATCACACTCCCATTCACGTAGAAAAGAGAAATTTCTATGGACTGCTCAAAATTTCTAATTGACATACCTTACTTTTTTTGATAATCTCTGTAACGCATGAGGATATAAAAATAACGCTCTTATCATATCTTGTTCTCTTCACAGATAACCAGAATGTTTTTGGATTGCGAACATTTCAGACTGCGATATTAAATTTTGTACATATATAAATACTAAGGATCGAATTTTGGTTGTATTTAATAGGTTCTATTTAATATTTGGTCCTTCGAATAGGACTTTTCGAAAAGTCAGTGCATCAATTGTATACTGTGCAATCGTGTGTGTGATTCGTGAACTCATAGTGTCTAAACACAGAAGGTACGCAACATGTATGAATGTGACACAAGAATTTTATTTTAGCTGATGCTGATCCAAGAAGAGTGGTTAGACTTTGACGGACTTTATGTGGATTTGGTTTTATATTGTATGTGTAAGGATGCAACAATTGCGAGTGTGTTGTATGATGCGTTTTTGTTCAGAAGCGAGCAGAGGAGTATTCATTGCGAGTCTGAGAAGTGATGTTGATCTGTGAGAAAGTGAATTCATAAATGATAGTTATTATATACATTATTCAATTTATATATATATATATATATATATATATATATATATATATATATATATATATATATATATATATATATATATTAAACATATTAATTAAGAGTGTGTATTTTATTTAACTCACTCACACTTTAGGAAAAATCCGAATTTCAAATTCGAAATCTTCGCATTAAAGAAATCAATTAGCACACATCACGACTTTACATTATTCAAAAGGTCCATAATCCAAATCCTGATCCAATACAACGATCTTCCGTAAGTAAAGCATTTCTCGATTTTCGTACGTGAATTTTTATACGTTGAAATACTATAGACAGCAACGTAAAATGTTATATCTTCGAACAGATCCAAACTGCCCTGACTTGCTTTAAATCATTTCGATTCATAAGACGACTTCATTCTGATTAATGGAATAGAGCTTCACTGCTTCCCACACGAAAAAATCCATTGGAGTTAGATTCTGTGAACGAGGAGGTCAATTGACAGCTCCAGCACGACCGATCCATCTTTCGGGAAAATGAATATTAAGTTGAAGCAAAAAGTGTACCTGTTAATAACATTGAAACATTAAAATTGAGAATAAGCGTGTAACGAAATGTACTGTCAATCGATCACTTCTTCTGTTATTGATAGGTGTAATGATCGTCTCCAAGCTGATGGTAATCATTTTGAGCAACATATTAATTACAATAATTACAATTAGTTTTAGTAATAAATACAATAATTTTCTTTAATAATATACGTAATAAACCTGAATTATTTCGATGGCATACATTACTAAGTCCTACAACTTTAGTAGTAAATATCTCTTGAATGAAGCATTTGCGAGCATACTTCCAGAGGAAAAAAAATTTGTTTGTTTTAGGGTCCTAAATTCATATCTAAAATTTGGCGATTTAACCTGGGAACACCTTGTATATAGATGTATATATGTATAGGAGAACGACGAGAATAGTATTGAAGTTTAATCCACTAAATTTCTTGAGTAATATACAGATGTATATTAACAAAGAAAAATAATACAGAAAAGAGAATAATTACATTGTTTCAATGCTTGCTTACCACTCATCGTTTCTTCTCTAATCCATGGTTTCTCGCTGAGTCGTGCATATACATTCATTCGCCCGTACTCACTCTCGCGCGCGCTAGTATGCTTAAAAGTGAATTTATTATATAAATTATTATATATATATATATATAATATATATTATATAATAAATTATATAAAGTACTATAATTTAATCCAAATATAGTTCTATATTTGTGCAAGACATTACTTTGTAACACAGAAACAGAACCTATCAAATATTATTATTTTCTATTATTTTTAATATTAATAATTTCAATCAAATATTGCAATAATCGATGTATTATCAAATATCGAAATGAATAAATATATAATTTTATAATAATTTATTATTCAACATTGTAAAAATTTGGTCACAAAATTTGTTGCGCATTATGGTATATAATATATAATATGAAAAAGGAATGAAAATTCTTCATTATAAACAGTGCAAAATTTAAAAAAATGATGCATTAGCGTTTATAACATATGTATTATATCACGTCTTATTAGCACCAAATTATTCAGTGGTTATTACATGACATTCATTAAACGAAAATATTTCTTAATAATGCAATTAAATTATAAATAAATTAGAAGAGAGAATATGTATAATAATTATGTTATAATTATATAACTATAAAGTAAGTAAATAAATAAATGCAAGATTAAAAAATGAATAAGAACTTAACAATTTTGAACTTTAATTCTGATAAATTATTTTTGAAATTATTTCTCAACAGATCATACAAATATTTATCATGCTACAATACAATAGAATTGTTTTAAGTTGTAGGAGCATATTATATTTTCAGGAACTTATATTTCTAAAATGTGCAGTTGAGTATAGATTGAAAATATGTTCACAAGCTTCTTATATCATAAGAGAACATTAGTATACATGAACAATAACCACGCATAGTAAATATTCCTTGACGTTTGCAGCCACTTTGAAGTCAATAAATATACTAAACTGAATAGTCTTCACTAACTGTATTTGGTACTTGATTTGAATTGTTTGAAAATAATTCTACATATTTTATATAATATAATGTAATGCTAATTATAATTATAATATAATACTAATAACTAGTACTAATAATATAATACTAATAACTTATAATTATAATATAATACAAATAAACGCAATATTAAAATATATAAATCAAATAATCGTAGAAGCAATATATAACATATTATACTATATTACACTATATTATAATCTATAATTTAGAATCGTTCACCGTGTAAAAATATTTTTACCAAAATTCACTATTGCTTTTTGCAATAATAATGATCGGTCAATTGCACCTGAAATATGTGTATACTTTGAAATAATATTTATTTATTTGTTATGTAAGGGGTTTTGTGCATATTATAGAACTAAATATTTGGGTGAAAATTGAACCAATTAAATGAAGGAATATATGTTGTACGTGCAATGTCTTTTATTAATTAAATAGTAAACTTCCGTATCAAACCTTGTAATAACTGAGCCAGCATGTTTCATTATTGGAGTTTAAATTTTCACTAAATTTACAACTGATGTCCATCTCAATAACAGAATCCATTATAGACCGTTTCAGTGTAGAATATAAAGTTTATAATAAATAGTTTGGCACTTCTCTGGAGTGTAGATGTCACAGATCCTTTGTAAAATTGATACGATAGTTAAAAAACGGAATGTAAAAAGAAAGTAGACGTTCAGTAAATTTATAAATTTATCTATAATTATTTCAAACTTGTTAATACTTTCTAATTGAATTATTTCATATGAGATGAGATACATCAAATAAAACAGAATTTTATTTAAAAGCAAAATTTTATTTCAGGTTTGGTATTAATTAAGTGGATAAAAATTTACAATACTTTTTTTTCTCTAGAAACACAAAAGATTGTCAAAATAAAAAGGTAAACGTAATGTTTAGGAGACCCATCTTCAATGACCTAGATTTTCACTTACCAAAGTGACGTTTAGAAAACTCTAATCATCACTCGTTATTTGTTGAAAAGTTACGATCTAAAAATTAAATTTTATTTACAAACCACTTGATCCACTTCACCAATTTCATTAACAATGAAATATACGAGTCATGTATATGTTAAAAGAAGTATAGTTCTGAATGTTATCAGCTGAGAATTTATCCCAATATGTATCTTTTTAAAAAAAACTTGTTACTTTTTTGCTTATTGATTTGGATTAAACAAAATCTTGACCGGTGGAATCGATAGTATGTATACAGGATGAATCACCTAAAAGCTAAAATATTTTTGAAATAATTGATTATATTTAAAAATGTTTTAGACAAAAATAAAATGATTTCGAGAGGAGCGTTAATTTATATAATTATTATTGTTTAATGTTGATGCATGGAAGGTATTTGAAGGTCAAGTTTGTTTTTTTAAGTGAAATACTTCATATTTTTTAATATATTATTTAATATATTATTCTCGTCATTCTCAATATTAAACTATTTATGCCAAAAAAACCATTAGATCAGAAAATATTTTAAATAAAATATTGCAGTGATACTTGTTCAAAATCGAATTTCTTCGTTCAGTTTCATATTCTTGATGTCAGATAGTGTTTTATTTCTCAAATTATTCACCAGATTTGGACTCAGTAGATTTTTTATAATATGATTTTACTTAAAAAAACAAACTTGATCTTCAAATACGTTTTCTGTACCTACATTAAAAAATATCAGTTACATCAATTAATGTTACTCCTTTCGAAAATATTCAATTTTTATTTAAAACATTTCTTGATTGAACAATTAATCATTTTGAAAATATTTCAACTTCTAGTCTTAAGTGACTTACTCGTACTTTAGAAATGGATTTTTGTACATTTTATTTGTGTATAAATAAAATTTCATAGTTATAAAGTGATCATATTGGCTATAATCAATTCCATAGAGGAATTTAACTCAGAAGAAAAGGCGAAAAATTTATAGGTGATTTGAAAAAGATTTATGAAAGATTTAATTTAAAATCTAAGAGACATTATAGAGACAAAGTTTTTTTTATTATAAAGTAAGGGAAAAATTTTTTCTCTGAAATCCAATAGAAAATTTTTTCTTTCCAACGTTCGATTTTATTTAAATAATAACATTTCTGTCACATATTTTTGTTGCAGTTTATATGATTAAAATTAATATTTTTAACAGTAGGACTTAAATATTATGGGCAGTAATTAAAAAAACATTTTCAGTAATGTTTATAATAAATAATTACTAATATTATAAATAAGCATTTATATATATATATATATATATATATATATATATATATTTGCAGAAACTACAATTTTTATCATTACAGGTACTTTTATCTTGCAAAGTGAAAATGGAAAATAATATACTTCATGGTCCGCCAGTAAAAAAAATACCAAACATAACTTTAGGGAAACATCTATTCGATTGTCTACGTTCTAATGGTGAACATATTATGCAAGTAAGTTAATTATTTTTAAAACAGAATCGCTCATTTATCCGATGTTGTGACATATTAAATCAAGACAAAAAATCAAATTTTTTATTCCATTTTTTAAAAATACAATAGAACTTTGCTTATATAAATTTCTCGAGGTACAAATAGTTTATATAATAAATAATTTATATTGGAATTTACATAATAAAAATCGACTGATTTTTTCATACAATATTGAATTCAACCAGAAATCATTTAATTTAGTATTTAAAATTTGATTTAAATAAAAGTTGACATAAACAGATTATTATTGTACTTTGAAAATGTGTTCCTAGATTTTTATATTTAACCTTAATTAGATAACAATGGCTTCCAAATAATGGTTGTCAGATTGAAATTTTTCATGCATTTATAGAAAATTTGAAACTACAAAAATGCATACTATGACATTTAATAAATAAAACAGTCGTCTAGATTCTTGAAATTGTATTCATAAGAATATGAATTTGCATAAAAGTTCAGAATTACTATATACACATTATATTGAAAGCAAATGTAAAATTTTTACAAAACCTTATAGAATTTTTTTAATATTATTTTCTTTGATAAAACAAGTAATACCTCATCGATTTTAATAATGTCGTTAAACTTAATATACTGAATAATTTTTTTTTATACATATAACTACGACTTAATTTCAATTTTCAAAATATACATATATTTTAATTACTATACAAATGCATGTTATATTCTTAATATCTGAGATATGACGAATTAATAATTACTAATGAATTAAACTGAAATATTAAATCATTAACAATCCGATATATAGAAATTAAATTAAAACATGGCATGTCAAACCTCTAATAGTGATTTTATTAAATCTTTCGTTAAATATAATTTATTAATTGTAGTATATGTAAATTTATTTATTAAAGTTAAGTATGTTCCCAATTTCTTGATGATGAGAATAGATTTTTAGCATAGGACTCCATTTGTTATTAGAATGCAATATAAATAAATATGAATAATTGTCAGATTGTTTAGATATTTAAACTGCCAATATAGTTCAATTTGTAGTTGTAGACAAATAGTTCGTATAAATAATCTATGTAATTGGAGTTTATACGTATAATGGGAGTCCACTGATTCTTCCTTTTACTAGTGACTTTTGTTTTTATAATTTTAAATATTCATTTAATCCGTTTAATTTATTAACTAAAATTCAATTCAAATAAATAAAGTTCATAACAAGCGGAGTTCTACTGTAATTCAGATAGTATTAAAATTGAAATACTTAATATGATTATTGAAATACACAATCTTTAAAATCACAAATAGACAATTTCATAATCGCAACAATAATATGCTAAATTAAATTAAATTATATATTCATTTATTTACTTATTTAGATATTTTATCTGTAATATTAATTTATAAAAAGTATAGCATTAAATTGGTAAAGCATATTTCAGTATGTAAAAGGGAACAAAAATTCATTAAAAGAGTCATGTGCTCTAGTCGCTATTTTTTGCTCAATAACCTAGGAATGTTATCAAACATTATTAAAATTCATTTGGCAATCAGTTCAATCTATTTCGCAATCGGATTGCAATCGAATTATCTACAAGAATCTTATAGCATTATTTCTTTTTCTAAATTGATAGAAGATGCATTAGGGAAAATATTTTGCGTCATTTTTTATTTTTAAAATTATTTTTAGATGTCAATGAGAGATTTTGTTTAAAATAAAATCTGTATTATGTATGTACACAGTAGTGGATTTAACTCTTATGAGACCTAAAGCTAATAATCACTGGAACTTCATTTCATTTTGAAATTCAAAAGCAAATGACAATTAATATTATAAAAGCTTTATCGCAAAATTCTATATACTATACATAATATAAGGAACAATTTGCATATACGAAAATCAATACTTATATTCTTATAATTAAAACTTGTCATAATAGTCACTAAGAACATAAATAAGAACATAAATAAATATTGACTTGGATATGTAAATTGTTTTATTTCATCATACGATAACTATCTAGTTATATCATTTTCGATTGACAAAATGATTAAATTATTTCTACTGTATGTATATGTTAATATGGTATATTTATTTATGATATATTTATTTTTTATTGTTAATTTGGGGATTTCTTTGCGTTGTAATATTGTTAAAAATATATCTATTCAACAAACATCGTTTCAGCCAGATTAAAATTTTTATTCCGGGTTTAAAAAACATTAACAAGTATATCTTACCTAATTCTAATTTTATCATTTTTTATAGCTTAATCATTCTTTTTAACAAACAATTTTGAAGACCTCATAGTCAAGGCCCCTGCATATACACAAAATTTAAGGAAGGGGTTAAATCATAATTTCATTGCTTTTGAACATCTTATAATTCTCGTTACAAGATAAATCTTTTCAGTATTTAATATCGACAATAAGATCGTAATGAATAATTAAAAACTAATACGTATGTTTCATTGTGAATAAGCGACTTGTATTACAACTATTTTAATATTACAATTAACTATATTAGTTTCGGAATGATAAGCAAGTTCATAAAAAAAAATAGGTTTGTTCATATAAAATGGCATTACCTATAAAATGAATTGGTAAGTCACTTTTATTATCACATTATATATTGTAATATTTGAATATTATTATTATTTTAGATAGATGCTAATACTAATAGACACTACACTTGCAAAGATATCCTTGAGAAAAGCATAATAGTATCTAATGCTTTGAGGAATTATGAGATCAACGTCGAAGACAAAATCTCTATTGCGGCGGAAAATCATCCAAATTACATGACAGTGATGTGTGCCTCATTATTTATCGGAGCTACATTTACACCGTTGAATCCAACGTATACAGAAAGTAAGATATTTTTGAAACAAATTATCATTAAATAATAAAGATATCTATGTATGTAAATGTGTGTATATTTAATACTATAAAAAAGTTAACAAAATAGAAATATAAAAAAATAGTAAAAGAAGAAAGAAAAGCTTTTTCCAAAAAAGCTGATCAGTTAATTGATTATGCCATATGTAAATTAATGAAAAATATTTCAATTCAAGTTCATCGTAGAATTTCACACTTATTAGAAAAGGAATTCATCAATTAAATGTTGTTCATTAAGACTAGATTTATTTATTTCCAGAATTAATAATAAAATTTTAAATACTACATTATTTATTTCGAGACTATATCTTAAAATTTGACGCAATAAATGTTAGTGATGAATTGTTTGAACTCGCATATTAAAATATAATAAAAAAGTTATTTATAAACTGAAGTTTACTTATAAATATGTCATTTTTAAATATAAATTTAAACTTAACATAAAAAATAAACTAAAATTTACATTCCCAATATTTATTTCATATTTTATGAATATATATATAACATAAATATCAAGTCGTGTAATTTAACTATTCTGAATAATTTTTTAAAATAACTATTCTACAAGTAAGTTATTCTAAAGAATTGTTTTTGTTTTTATATTGAAGAAATCTTTCACAAAGCTTTTTGGATATTTATAAATCTTTTTATAAAACTTGCAATTTGTAAGTTATTCGGAGTAATGCGATTCAATACGTACATTATCAAACTATACTTAATACACAATTTTTATTCCAGGAGAATTTAAACATATGTTGGAAATTTATCAACCACGACTCCTATTTGTATCTCAATGTACCGAAAAGATTTTGGCGAAAATTGCATCTACTTTAAGCTGGAATATGAAATTAATTGAGTTGGACGACAAGTCTCTTGATGAAAATATAATAACATTAAAGGAAATTGTGGAGAAATATAGAAATATTACGGATCTCAATATGTTTTTACCAACGCAGATAGATGACAACAGCAAAAGAACAGCAGTTATTTTCTGTTCCAGTGGTACAACGGGCTTTCCAAAGGGAGTAATGTTATCCCATAAAAATTTATTAATTTTCATGGAAGCTGCTAAGTAAATAACGTTAAATTAATATTATATATAAGCATAAGCCCTTATAGTTAGATTTTTAACTATTTAATATTTAATCTTCGTCTGTCCATTATATCAATTTGACACAGTTTTCTTATAAATATGTTATACTATTTTACCGCACATGTGCAGGTATAGTTAACTAGAATAGATATCTACTTTATCAATATAACATACAATAAGGAACATAACTGAACACATAACAATGAAAAATTGATACTTTAAATTGTTATAACTTTGTGAAACGGAAAAATCATGTAATAATCTACTTTCTCTTTCATTCTCGCTTGAAAACGTAAAGCTATTTTAACTGCTCCGTCGTATATTTTATATTAGCGGAAGTAGAGAAAGTAAAGATATTTTTTTCTCGATAGCTGTAAAAATTCAAAGCTCTTTGAAAACAGCAAAAATATTTTTCATAACTAAATCTTGAAGAATCTGCTTTTTACAATGATCTCTCAAAACCTGTATGATTCATTTTAGCATTTTATTAAATTTTGAATACTAGGATTAAATGTTAGGATATTTTGAATTTTTGTCATTTAATCTTAAATTCAATAAAGTAGCGAAAAAAATTATACAGAAAGTTTTAAGAAGTCATTATAAATAGAAAATTTCTATTTTCAAAACCACAAAATCTAGTCATCCTCGTATAGTTAGTATAACAGTTTAAATTTTAAACTTTAAAGAATTGAAAGTTTTTTATCTAGATAGAGATAAACTTATATGTAAAACTTAAATTTTTTAGTATCAGTGTCATTTCAAGGTCATATTTTTTACATATCTGAACGTACTTTTTTACTAGTTATACGATGCAATAAAAAAAAAATAGTTTTATGGAGAAAAAACATCAATGACTTTAAAAAGTCCTTGAAAAAAATAAGCTTATCAGTAATAGATTTTTCGATACTATTCACGATAGGTACAAAATATTTTTTTGTATCATCAGAATTCGGAAAGATATTTAGGTGGCTTCATCCTGTATATGTACGGCAGAAATCTAAAAGTCACAAAATATGAATCTTATATGTACATGATTAAATAAAAATTTATTATTGTTCATAACAAAATTTGCAAATTCAACTAATTGTATTTTTATTATATTAATCTTTCATCACTATGTCAATTTGAGAGGATAAATAACTGGAACTGCGACAAACGGACGAGGATTAAACTAATATATCATTATTCTAATATTATACGTATTTAATTGTATAATATTTATATGCATTTAATTGTATAATATTTGAGATTATAGGACAGATATAAAATATTTAGCTTTTATATATTTAACACATGTAAATAACTAGAAAATTCTATTTCTTTTTTTTTATTTATCTTGTTCAATACATCTCAGCATTCATTTTATTGTTATTACGTTTTAAAATATTTCATAGTCAAATTAAGTTATTAAGATAAATTATTCTATCTTAAATTATAATTATTTAATACAACAACTTTTTTTTAATGAAGATATCCAGGTTATGTAAATATTGAACATGGAGATCGAATAATGATTTTCTTGCCATTGTTTCACGGCTATGCATTTGGAATGATGACCATAGCAATAACTTGTGGTGCAACTGTATGCATAATGCGAAATTTCGATTTAGAAACGTTGCTCAAATCTGTTGAACAATATAGAATTACGAATATACCGTTGGTTTCTCCAGTTTTAGTAACTCTTGCGAAACATCCAATGGTGTTAAATTACGACTTCAGCAGCGTAAGAGAGATAGTATGCGGTGCAGCTCCATTTCCGAAAGATGTAAGTTTTTCACCAAAGTTTGTTCAAATCAAGAAAGTTATGACAACATACAGTCTGAACTTGATAATGCAGAAATAAATCCCTCTTCTCTTTCCTTTCCTAATACACAAAATTAATCAGAAACAAGTTTTAAAACATTTAACAAAGAAAATGAATATTACAAATGTTCACTATCTATGATTGCGTCTCTGAAAACATTGAAAAATTTTTTTCTCGACTAAATTCATCATTTTAAAAAATGAAATTCCGCCTTTAAAACTTGCTGTACGATTTTTTTTTAGTACTTTATGAATGTTAGTATTAAATTAAAACTATGAATGTTAGTATTAAATAATAAACATTTAAGAAATCCTAATATTTTGTCATATAATTCTAATATTTTAAATCCTTTGTCATGTAATTTAAAGTTCAATAAAATGGTGAAAAAAATAGCAGGTTTTGAAAGATATTTATAAAGGGGAGATTTGTTTTCAAGACTGATAAATCTAGTCATGAAAAAAATTTTTTATTGTTTTTAGAAATGTTTAAATTTAAAAAAAAAAGTATCTTTACTTTCCTATCTGCTGCATGTTGTAAAAAAATAAAAAATAATTCAAGATTCTAAAAGTAGTGGTTTTAAGTTTTAAACGAGACCACGTTATTTTGTTTTACAAAGTTATAACAGTTTAAATTATCGACAATATTTCATCGTTATTAATTTAGTTATATTCTTTGCTACGTCACGTATATGACATTACTCGATGATCGTATTCAGAAGATTAAAATATTTGTTTTCAATATTATCAAAGAAAAATATTTTATATCGATCGCAAAACTATATTATTTGAACAAGAAACTAATCACATTTTAGCATTAGATATTGAAAGTGAATGTTTCATTCATTTCTATTGTCAAAAATTGAAATACCATAACTGTCACAGATATATAGATTGTACTATTTATTTTGATCATCTTAAATATTTCCATTGTTTTTGGAAACAATTTGTTCAAAATTTTGTTCACAAAAGTATTTATTCAGTTTTTTTTTTTTTGTGTAGTATTTTGAAGATTTCGCAGTTATCTCTACTTTTTTTAAATGGAATGATATATTTTTCGATTCGTTAACTAATATAGCTCGATTCTCTAAATTCTCTAAGACATTCTCTAAATATATATTCTCTAAATATTAAAAATACTAAAAGCATGTTCGGTAAATTGTTAGTTTATTTGTTATTTTAACTTTAATAAAATCTATGTATAAAAGATAAGGACAGTATGAATACAAGGATATTGTTCCCATCTTTCTTCGCTTTTAAATATATTTTATTATATTTCGATATATTTTACAAAATTAAAATTGAAGTATTTTCTAAATTTGATAATTTTTCGACATACATAGTGAATGTCGAGCTTCATCGATCAATGCATAAAAAAATGTATAATTTCATTTGAAGAAGTAGACGTGACCTTGAAAATGTCTTCATCTAGACAGATTTAATGATCATCGTAAGATGTCTCTCTCGAAACACAAAGTTTATTTGAATTTTTCGCAATAACTTTTGGAGAGTATTTTGGAGATAATTGAATATAAAAATTCACATGTATGCGAATATGATATAAAGGAAACATCTTGTATAATAACATATAGTATGACATAATTATGAAATATATTCTAATTATTGTTTAATGGCATTTAGAATGCCAGGTATATATTTAAAAACTTATTTCGAACTGCATAGATTATAACTTTGGTATGGCCTGTCGCATCGCTATTTACGGTTGACTGCTCACAAGCTAATATACAGGGTAATTATCGCAGCAGGTTATATTTCAAAAACGAGATAAAATTAATTGATATGCAACTTTTTTTTAATGAAATCGTACATTCTTTTATACATTAATCGATAAAGCTTCATATATAGACATTCTTTATAAAAAAAAAATATTAATCTACGTAGACATGTTAAAAAACTATTAGTTTAGAAGATATTTTAACTTTAATTTTGTAAAATCTAACGCATGAAAGAGGAAACAATATTATATATAATAGAAACAATATTATTGTATTCATAATGTCTTTATCTTTCATCCACAGATTTCATAAAATTAAAGTTAAAATATCTCCTAAACTAATCATTTTTCGACATACGTAGGTTAGTACTTTTTTTTTATAGACAATATCATTTTATCAATTAATGTATAAAATAATATGATCCATTGAAAAAAATGTTGTATGTGCATTTTCTAGGTACAGTTACACGAAAAGTAAACTTGCAGAAAAATAAGTCTCCTTCAATCAATTTTCTCTTTTACAATTTTTTCTATGTCCTACCATTCTTGAAACATAATCTATTACAATTGCGAGACTCACCCTTATAATAAAGTTTAATATACAATAATAGTTTTTTTTTAACACCATTATTTTTAATACCAACCGATATTACCATATTATAAACTAAATAGTATCAAAAATACTTTTGCGTATAACCTGAAAATTACAGCAGTGGCATATAATGAAAACAATACATTTATCTCAACAGCATACATTATCTACAAAAAGTGCACTACTTAATTGGAATTAATGTACAAGATATATATATATATATATAAATTCCAATCTACATAAATAGACTAGTAATATATTAAAACATAAGATATACTACTTAATTGGAATTATTAAAGTATATTAAAGTATAATATACACTATTTAAAATTGGAATTATTATATGTTAAATTTTGTATCATTAACTGTTTTGCCAGCATGGACGAGATACTTCACTTCATAACACTGCTGTTACAATTCTAGTAACAAGTTATTTTGCGTCACTATTTTGCTCTTGCGATGATGTCTCGAGATATCTCGCATATTTCATAACAGAGGGAACATCTCGTGCAGCAATAACAATATCTTGCGTTTTTTTTTCAATTTATCCTAATAAAAGGTACACGAGATAACTTGTCCATGGCATCGCACAAGAGCTAAACTGCGACGAAATAACTCGATAGCGATGTTATGATAGCTTGTCGGTGATATTGTACAATCGACATAATTCTGGTGAGATATCTCGTCCATGGTAACGAAAGGGTTAGGTAATATTCTCGTACAACTGCAATAATTTGATATAAAATAAAATATAGAGCCTACTGAAATTTGATTGAAAGTAAGCCTAATGAAAATAAGATTGTATGCAAATATTTTCTAGATCCATCAAATTTAGCGAGATATGTCCTATTCTAAATAATTATTTTACACAATCTTAGCATCGGATGTACGATCGAGGAGAAGAAATGATTCTACATAAAAAAAATAAATCGAAAAGAAAGAACAATATTTTTTTTAGTTAAAGCTTCGTTTTTGAAAAACATCAGATTTGAAAATTTATCGGTAATACTTAAATTTAATTGGAACTGGTCAGAAATAAATAATGAACAGAACATTATTCTACGTGCGAAAATAAGTCAAAAATTAGAATATCTTTTTATGCTTCGTTTCCCAAAAATTTCAATTTGAAAATTTATCGAGCTATGTTTATTAAGCCAATTCTTATCTAATTTTATCAAACTCTATTTTTTTGAAAATGAGGTCTTAAACGAAAAAAATAGAGAAATAAATTCTTTATTTTTCATGTATTTTTTGGTTGTACATCCAATGCTGAGACACTCTGTATACAGACTTTACCAACATGTTTGCCCTCGTTTTTTATAAACGAGTTATATGCGCCATGAGTCAATTCGTCTTTGTTTTCGAGATATAGACAGAACTATCGAGTTAGAATTATTCTGTATTTTTTGTAAATGTATGTAATTTTTTTGCATGGAGTTATGTGAAATCGAAGGTATATTTGGATATAAAAACCTAGTACATGTAATGAATTGATAGTGAATATTTGAGTTCATAGAATCAAGAGGTAAATTTGTATAAACCAATCTGAACCAGTACAAAATCAGTGTAAAAAGTAACTTAAAATAAATCACTATTATTAAAAGTTATAGTTCGAATGTATTTGATTATCTGCGTTTTACACTATGTTTCTTTTCATTATCTCGAAAACGAAGATAAATCAACCCATAGTGTGTAATAGTTTGTGCTCAAAATAATCTTTTAAGTTTTATAAGTTTGACGGATCTGAGATCTGAAATATCCTGTACAGTATTTTCTTTGATACACAGGAATTTCAAAACTTTAAAATTAAAATTTTCCCATCATTAAGCACCATTAAAATTCTACTTCTCTATTAAAATTTGGAAAAAAAATGTTAAATTTTTAACAACAATATATTAACTTCGCTTATTCTTGATAATTATTTCATGTAGCATCAAATTAATGTTAATGAATTTCAATGAGATCATCTTCACTGTGAAAATGTGTTCTATATGTATTTCTTTCAGATTGCAGACGAAGTAAAGCGACGTACAAAAGTGAAAACTATTCGAAACGGTTATGGCATGACGGAATTAACGATAGTATCAAACATAAGCAACCCGATGAGCAACGATAATTCCGTAGGTCCTGTAATGGCTGGCTTGAAATACAAAGTGGTGAATACTGAAACAGGCAAGACACTTAGTGCAAGAGAAGTTGGAGAAGTTTGCTTCGCGGGTGATCGGGTAATGTTGGGATATTTCAAGAATCCTAAAATCACTGCGGAAACAATTGACAAAGAGAATTGGTTGCATACTGGCGATCTGGGATATTTTACTGAAGAAGGAACGCTATATATTACAGGACGTATAAAGGAAATTATTAAATACAAAGGTTTTCAAGTTTCACCATCCGAGATTGAAGAAATAATAATGTCGCATCCAAGTGTAAAAGATGCGGCTGTCTTGGGTAAACCAGACGAACTCAGCGGAGAGTTACCAATGGCTTTGGTAGTAAGACAACCTGGTAAAATTATATCAGAGAAAGAAATTCTGGATTTCACTAATGGTAAGCTCGCTTTCTTTTTACTGTTTATGTGGAAACACGTCGTTACCGTAAAGCGCACAAAGAATAAACAACAATCGTCAATGGTAGTAAAGGTTCTATGCGAAATATAAAGGAATTACTTCTCGTTAAAAGAATTTTATTAATAACCTAACAACAATTAACTAATTTTGGGAATAAACTCTAAAGAATATTTTCATAATCTATAAAATCTGTACAAAATATGTATATTATTAATATCAACATTATTATATTAATTTAAAAGATGTAAAAATTGGAAAATGATTTACTCATTAACTGAAAAGAATTATATATGTATATTCCAAGAATTATACATATGTTCCGGACGTGATAATTTTTTCATAATTGAATTCTCAAGTTTTATATTGTATCGTTATATTTATATTAAAATGTATCAATTCATTTTCATTTATGTTTTATTCTGTACATAATAATCAAAAAATAATACTACTAATAAATAATACTAATAGTTGACAGATTAATTTAAATGTATCGATGATTAATATTTATATTAATATAAATGCAGCGATTTTATCCGAAATAATAAGTTGGTATCAAATTTTTTCATTTAAAATTCCACTTTCGAAAAAACTGATTTTGAAAATTAATTAAATAAGCAATAGATCGGTAAATAATATTTGACTGTGTTGACGTTACGTTATCGATAATTTTTAACTGATTTTACTTTTCACTTTTTGCAATGCTTCTATTTTTAGCATTATTAATGTTTAGAAGTGCCAAGAAGAATAGTATTAACTCTTTATCTTACGATTTTCTTCTCAGTCTTCAGTAAACATTAGTTATTATAACATGTTACAATGTATCAGATGTAAAACATTGAGAGCATTATATATTTATATTTGTTAATTTTCAATTTGAAGAATAAAAATTGAAAATTCAAATTCATATTCCATAGAACTACAATCTGCTTTTGCTTTCAAATCAAACCCATAATTTCTATTACAGTTTGAGTAACTCGATATTATAACTCAAAGGGTTACCGATATTGTATAAGAAATATTTCGTTTTTAGAAATACTTTAATAAACATATAAGACTGGCACACTTCGAAGTAGGTATTATTCAAATTTTCTATTTATGGGACATATCTAAATTCATCAATCGTCTGTCAATCATTAGAACTGAATATTGAATAGTTGATCAATTTCTTAATAATATCGCGAGTTTACAAAATGATTCCACATAACGAATTCTCCGTCTCTGCATATTAGCAATACTATTACAATAATTTATAAAAAAAAAGAAAAAATCATATAAGAAAGGAAACAAATTATGTTTGTAATGCATTCTAACTTTTGTTACTCTTGAAGCTAATTTGGACAGGTATTTTTCACACCTATCATTTCATATTATTGAACATCGTAATAACTATTATCGTAATATCATATTCATTAGTCGCTTGCAGATCTTATCAATTTTTAAAATTGATGCTCTCAAAAACTAAGACTAGAATGAAACCATTTAGTATAAAATATTTTACTTATTCTTTTATGGAATCATCCTCATCCTAGTTATATTAATATTTTCAACTAATATTTCCATTTGTATAATAAATACATATATAATATATATATATATATATATATATATATATATATAAAATACATATATTGGACCAGGATGGTGTTAGAGAAAGAGAAATCAAATAAATTATTAACTAATTCTTTGATTATAAATTAACTTGATTTTTACGAAAAATATTTTATTTTTCACCTTTAATGCAATAAATACAACATTAACTTTTTAAAAATGAAAAAAATGAAGAACATACCTTTTTTATTTTCATATTATTTTGGAAAGTGTAAGTGAATCAAATAAAATACACACTCTTAATTAATATGTTTAATATATATATATAAATTGAATAATGTATATAATAACTATCACTTATGAATTCACTGTCTCACAGATCAATATTACTTTTTAACTCAGACTCGCAATGAATACTCTTCTGCTCGCTTCTAAATAAAAACGCATCACGCAACACACTCGCAATTGTCTCACAACACTCATGTCTTCGCTCGACTCTCATGCATTCTCACACATACAATATAAAATCAAATCCACAGAAAGAAACAGCAATTTATCCCAGATTTAACGATATATGATGTAATTATATTAATTATAATTAATTAAATTAATCCTTTTGACTCAAATAAATCAATAAAAAGGTCTCTCTTTCTTATCTATTTCTTTTCAGTTGAGAAAGTAAACTCAGTTTTAATCTTAAATTATTCTTTTGTTGAAGTACGTACATAAAATCATATTTTATTTATCAAGCTAATGTTTCTGAAAATATTAAATATTGTAATATTTATACTTATTCCGCCAAACCGAACAGTAATAAATTTAATATCTTATTTAGCAAATTAACTATACATACAAATAGGCTTATTCACAATTTTTAACTTAATTTTTACTTAAGTTATTTCATAATATATCTATGACATATTTCATACTTCGTTCATTCTTATTGTCGATGAAAAATATTAATAATTTTAATGAATAATTTCACAGAATGATGAATAGATATCTTTGAAATATGTTATTAATTTATTAAGTAGGAAGATCGAATTCCAGAACCAATTTTGTCTTTATTAATTGTTAATTATTCCATAATTATAAAAGTTTAGATAAGAAATGACCCGATTAGCAGGTTAATATCATAATAAAATACAACTAGTAAATACGAAAATAAGAAAATATTATATATAAACAGATTGTGAATTTAGTGTAAAAAATTTTCTACTCTTATAAATAAAAGATGAGAAGAAGAAGTTCTATCAAAAGATGAGACATAATTATTCAGAGTTTTCAAATTAACAATCTTTGTATAATTGCAATAAATATTTATTTTCTAATGCATCTATTATTGTATTTATAAATACTATACTATTCTATATGTTATTATTGTATGTATATAAATTTACTCTTCAAATTATAATAATAATAGTATTTGTACTCTATTATATTATAGTATTAAAGAAATGTCATGACGTTTTATATAACAATTACTATATCAAATACAAGATTAAATATTATTTTAATGAATCATTGTATGGTTAAATAATATGACATTTTGAAATTTTCATACTGTAAATTTTAAACAGGATAATATGAAATAAATATAATATATAAGAAAGAAGTCAAAATTCTATTTCATAGAATTTTAACAATCTTCTGACGGTGTCAAATTAATTACATATATATTAATTATATATTTCATAGAACTTAATTGAAATTGATTTTAAATTTTACAGAGCAACTATCACCACAGAAACGGCTCAGAGGTGGCGTAAAATTTATCGAGGATATACCTAAAACACCATCAGGAAAAATTATACGAAAAGAATTGATTAATCTGATATCTAAGTTATGAATAAATTGTTTTAATTATTTGAATACAATTATTATATTATATTATATATGTTATATTATGATATTATTATATTATTTCATTTTATTATTATATTATATTACTTTAATATTCTAAATAATTATTTGAGCATATTTGAAAAAAAGTTTTATTTATTTATTTACCTACCCAAATCTAGTCAATAAACTGCAATAAATTTTAAATTGCAAATTGTCCATATTTATTTGGATACATACAGAATTGTCAATATTATTATAAGTATAAGCTATTCGTTATTGTTATTTTAATTTGTATATTAAATTGCTTTCAAATCGAAAAGCTATAAATAGAAATAAAGTTTAAACATTAATTGCTCGTATCATTAAAATGCGAAATATAAAATAACTACAAACCTGAGGCTATTTTGATGTAGGTAATAGCAATATTTTTTACACGATTTGGATCAAACATAATGTTTGTATTTGTATTGAAATTTTACTTCGATAAATAACTAAACATTTAATGAATATTCAAATTATTATTAACATAATGAATTACTGATACGAGAAATAAAGTAAAATGTATTGAAAAAGAAATAAATCTATATTAAAAGAATTTAAATTTAGGAATTTATTTTAAATAAAAAATATTTGAGTAAAATATTAATAAAATTTGATTAATCTGATTAAAATTAAATTATTTGTCTATGATATTCTGTGAACATTTTCAAATAATTATATTTGAGTTATCTACAATTACGATTTTTAAATAAAATAATTAATTAATTTTTTTATTAGTTACTCTAACAAATTTTTCGAGCTCGTGTAGAAAATACTGAAGTATTCTAATATTTTTCTCTTTATTTATTAAATTATGTAGAAAACTTGAGTATTAAAGAATTGAAAACTTAAGAATTGTTATTTAGAAATAATACGAACATAAATACGTATATTTATGAGATTGAATTACTAATGTATTAGAATTCCGTTTTATATAGATTCCATTTATTTAAAGCTTAGATACCATTTATTTAAAGCTTTCAATGCTCGATTAAATAAATAAATAAATTTTTGCTCATTGCATTCATTTTGTATTTAAATTTGAATTTCTATTATATGAACGAAAAATCACCAGTTCGAGACGATAACCAATGGATTGCTTTATATTTCTTTATGTGAATTCCAATTATATAAGTCATTTATCTGTAAAGTTTATATAATCAGAGTTCTGTTGTACACATTAATATTTGTTGGCAAAATTGAACGAATGGTTCTAGAAACTCATTATTTTATTCAGTAATTATTTATAATTTATCCAAGTTTAATATGAAAAAAATGTATGATATTTACGCACACAAAATATGCAAATGCATTTAAAAAACACGCAGAATATGTATTTAATATATCGAATATTAGTTATGAATTTTAATATTTAGCAGTAGATATTTCATAATATTATATATTATTCATAATATTACATATTAATCATAATATTTCATAATATTATATATTATTCATAATATTACATATATTTCAGAATATTCCAATTACTGCGGTATGTAACCGTATACATTGTGCGATAACAAATTTTGATAAAATCTGTAGTTGTACGTTTGCCTATGTTTACAAATATCTTTTTATACTTAATCTAAACTAAATTGCAAACATACAGTTTTCTTTATTTTATTGGTATACATCGATTGCACAGTTATGGTAAACTAAATTATTTCAATGAAATAAAATTCCGTTTTAAGAATAAGAATAGTTAAAAATTGTAGTAAGAAAAGAAAGAAAAAAAGAAAAAAGAAAGAAATTATTAAATGAACTCATCATAAAATGAACTCATCATTTAAAAGTTATGATTAGGTCTGCTTTAAATTTGAGTTGAGCATATTTGGCGAGGTGTTCTTATAATTAATGTTTTCTTGATTATTTTTATGCTAGATATAAAATATGGACATACATGTGTAAGTAAACATCACGAAACAAACGCTAAAGAGAGCGTTTTTTTCACAAAAGTATTATTCAGATTACTATTTAGGTTACTATTCAGATCAAGTATTATTCACAATTACTACCTAAGGAAGCCGTAGGAACACAGAACAAACATTCAGTAACAGATGAAATATATAATATTTAACTATCTGCGGGCTTCAGCATGAGCTATACTTACGTGCCTAACGGGCGAAAATAAAAAATTATAAATAATAAAAATACGTTAAAATACGTCAAGGGGTTAATTACAGGAGGAAAGAAAAAATGTACCCAAAAACAGTGCAGAGTATGTGCTGCATCAAAAAATGTGCTTCCTGTACCCGACCCGGCTTTTGACGCCAGTCTGTGGGAAAGATATATTTATTATAAATATCTTTTGTTTTCTATTCTTTAGTAATTATTACGAAAATATTTTAGATTAATTTTTCTCTTCTTCTTGTATGTAAAATTCATAAAGTTTTAAATTTCTTAGAATCTAAAGCGCTAATAAGCATAAAAGACAGAAAGTTAATGAGGAAATAACGATAAGTAAATGCTATGTGTATCATAATATAAGTATCTTTTAATCATTATTCTTTCTTTCAATCATAAAAAAATGTTTTTAATTACTTAAATTAATTACTTTCAATTACTTTTCCTACTATCGACTATTATAATGTTGTGAAAGATTTTTTGATGTTAACATTAGAGAACAAAAAACTTACAAATAGAAAACAAACAGATATACAAAATAAAGAATATATTCAATGAAATATTATACAAGTATCGATCAAAAATTTAGATACATTTTAATTAATATTTCGATAACCATTAATCCCAATTAATTGACTATATTACAGAATAATAAACATATTCACTTCCTAAACACAATATACTAAACTAATCTGGGCAAAGAAATCATTATTAATACTGATTAAAAGATCTTTTACCTACAATGTGTTACATTTTTGATTAATAGTACATTTGTATATGTCACAAGTAGATTTTATGTTTTACACCGATATTGAAGAGAATGAAGAGATCTTTTCTTCCGATTCTGTTTTGTAAATAAGTAAAATTTGTAAAAAATTTGTAAATTTGTAAATGTAAATTGTAATAAGTTTATAAACAAATAAAATAAAAAGCAACAATGCGTTTTTGTTACATTAATAACATTTAATAACATTTCGAAACTTATGAAATACAATTTTGGTTAATTTAAATTATTTGAATGTTTTTATGTAACAAGGAAATTATAGAATTGCCTGATTAGAACCCTATTAGAAAATTCAAAAAATTACGAAACTTCGTGTACAAGTAGAATTATTTTTTATTCGTGCTAATTTGATTCTAAGGAATGAAATCAATTCTTGAAAGCAATGCAAAATTTTCTCTAAAACGAAATATTTTGAGAATGATATTTCGAGAAAAATCGAAAATATTTCGAACAAAAATTATGTTTTTTTCACATCTGAAAAATTGCTTAAAACAATGTTTTGAAAGATTTATATTTTTTAAAATATCCTCTCCACTGAATTTTTTAAAATGTTTATTTGGTCAGTTATTATTGAAATGAATTAATTTCTTTCAACGTGTTTCATATTAATTAAAATGTATTTCTTACAGACTTTAATCTTGTATTAAACCATACATATAAATTTGTCGATCTAGGATCAAGACATATACACAAAATATTGAACTACGTAACGTTGAATTATAATTATGTTAACGTATAAAAAGTGAAATTATGAATTAATGACTGCATTGAGAAATTTCTGTCTCGCCGTCATTTTCTTCATCATACTGCATTCGTGCGCTATTTAATGCAATATATTTTTTCACAAATGCAAATATATCAGAATACTTTGATAAATATTTATAGGCAAATCTGAATAAAATATTAAACTTAAATGCACTCAAACTTAAATGCAAATCGAAAAACAAAACAAGAATAAGTGTCATATTATTACCAACTATTACCTATAATTGCATGTCTGTGACAGAGTGTACGTTAATATTGTGTGCGATTAATATAATATAAAGTAACAAAATTCTTATCTCTTTTTTAAAATCGACAGCTGAAGAACGAACAAAGTTAAATGAACGTATCAGTTGTACTTGTGTTCAAAAATCTTTGAAATCAGAAGTAGCATCCATATAATCAAAAATACGAAAATTTCTCAATTTTTTGTTGTTGTTGTTTACAACTTCTTTTTAAGAATCTCTCCCAAATAAAGAACAATTGTTATATTAGAAAACCAATAGGTATTATTAAAAAAAAAATTGAAAACCCATTTGTAGATGAAACCGTGATCCGAAATAATTATCTACAATGTCAACTGTCTGTTGTGTTATATATGTTTTTATATACTTATAAAAGAATTCAGATATTGATCACTAGGATAGAGGAAAGGAGAATGACAAAATGATTATTGATCAGCGTAACCGCACACTGAAAAAATAATCGGCAGATTGTCTAACATCTGTTGCTGCATCAATGTAATAGTTCTGTTTATTGAAAAAAAGTCATAGGAATTGTTTACAGTTGAGTATGAACCCATTCATACTCATACTTGAAAATAGGTATATAAGAAAAAAAAATAGCATACTATTGCAGTTATTTGAAGATAACATGATATAGTAAAAAGATACATAACATAATATGACAGCTTGAGAATATGTAGACAGAAATACAACACATTATTACATCGTAAAATATTGCCAAGTCACATTCGAAGAAGCATTGAGATGTAAAATTAATTAATAACATGTTACCTTATGTCAAGAACTTAGCAAATGAATGATATGAGATAAGAGCCATCAAAAACGCAATTTAAATTCGTTCAATCTAAAAAAGTTCAGTTTAAATATTCTAATTATAAAATATACATTCAGATGAACAATACCACTAAACTGGATAAAACCATTAAAAACACCAAAAAACTGTACAAGCAATAGCCAAATAAACACTAAAATTAATTTTACAGCCTCTATTTACCAATTAAATTACAAAATTAATTAAATTTATTAATTTAATTTTTATAATTTATATTTATTTAAATTTATATGTATAATAAATTAATATTAATTTAGATTATTCAT